TGTGTGTGTGTGTGTGTGTGTGTGTGTGTGTGTGTGTGTGTGTGTTTGAAAAATATGAGAAATTTGGTTTGAAAAAAGCCCATTTAGGCTATATTACACTCTAAAATGCCATTATGAAAAAGTGAATCAAATACACATTCTATCATACAGTTCATTAATACCGACATGTCCCGCCTCCTACAACATGCTTGGCTAGTGTCACTCCTTCTCGCAGTCTATGATTGGATCGTTAAGACGTCGTTCGCACAGCCGCGCCAATCACAACAAACAATGCGCAGGCCTGAGATGGGACTTTATGGTAGTCTTCACTATATGGTCTTCACTACAAATCCCATGATTCCAATGCTTCTTTAATAGCATCATCCAGGAGCTACTGGATCGCTCGGGTAAAACTGGAGGATTGAAGCTGATTGTGTTTACATGATTTTTGGCTCTTCCTGAAAGCAGAAGGGTGGAACAGCGATGAAAATGGACTTAAATGCCATCATAGAGAAGATGGAAACAGGCGATCAGGACGCCGCACTGACAGCTCTACAGACCTTTAATAAGGAGGTACATATCAGATTCATGTAAACCAGGACTGTTATAAGATGATGGATGTGAATATTCTGGGAGGAAGTGACTGTTTGGTGCATATGGAAAGTGTTTCTTTTTTGATACCATAACAGACATATATTTTTGTAAATATTGCATATTTTAGAGTTTACTGCACTGTGACATTTGGTTGTTACAATAGTCCTCTGTTTTGTAAATATTGCATGAAAAAACACAATCGATGAGGAGCTTCCATGATCAGAATAATGCATTATGTTTCAAATTATGCAAATGCATAGTAGGCTAATTACACTAGTAAAGGATATAAAATGAACGTCATTTACCCGTATAGATGTGGATGTTTATCAGGAACGTTATGTTTTTACATAATATTATACAAAAAAAATAGAATATTGAAATAAAAGAAAATGAGAAATATCATATTCAAATAAATAACAGAATAGAATAGAATAGAATAGAATAAGTACCAATGGGTGTGTTCATGTTGTCAATTATTATGATGTTATAATGACAGACATTCAGAAAGCCATTACATAATTCTTTACAACAGTAAAATAGCTTGAGACGAAGCTGATATGCTCTGATGTCAACAGCAGTGCAGAGATTTACTCGACTCCTCTTAAAAACATTCCTTTTTAGCAATATGTTGTCATAATTATAAGTACTTTATGCACTGATATTTGGCACTTCATGTACTGCTACTGGGGCCTTCCTTTTTAGATCGTATACCTAAAATCCTATCAAAAGGTTTAAAAAACAAAACCAGAAAGGCCTTTGAAATCTTAACAAATGATCCACATGGGAAATAGGTTAGTGGAGAAAGGAAAAATTGAAATCGCATCATATGACCCCTTTAAATCCGCCCAGAAACCGAAAAAAAAGCAAAGTCATATGAGTTAAAGAACTTTGTGTGACGTCGGTTAGATTAGGACTCAAGCAACATAAATAGATTTCTTAGGCTGATCCTGATGCTTCGTGAGCCGGTATCACAGAGGTTCATGCGCTTAAGCGTTCTAATCATGCTTTAGGTCAGAACTGATGTGTCGCTGATACATATCAAGAGATTATAAATTAAAATGATAATTGAATTTACAGCCTGTACAAGAATTTAACACTTTTTGTTACTGCTTATGCAGATAGATTTTGTCAGTTTTTTTTCCATTGCATTACACATATGCTGTATGTTTGAATATACAGTGACCCCCCCGCCCCCCCAT